CAAAAAATACTCTTAAAATTTGCAGAAAATTTAATTTAATACTTTTAGCTAAAAAATTTGATTTGATCCACTCTTTATATTTTTATTACAATTTTTCATGAAAAGTTTATATGTATAAAAAATATTTAGAAGACAACTTAATTATATAAATTTTGACTTATAAAAATTATTTAATTAGTTCTAAATTCATATAATCATCTAATCAAAATATAAAATTTCTTTGTATAAAAAATATAAAAGTTCTTAATTTTTTTGGCAGAAAAATGTAAGGATTTTAACTTTTAAGAATTCAAAAAATTTAATGAGTCTAATTATAAGGGCTTAATTAAAATAAAATAATTTGCAGGAACCTAACTTAAATTGAGTGAAACTGTAAAGACTTACAAATATGTTTTTCCAAAAAAAGATGAAAGAGTAAATTAATTTTTAAACTATATATTCAAGAGTATTAGAGATTTTAAACTCATTTTTAATACAATATTTTATTTAATTTTTGAAAATAGTATAATCTGACCTCTACTGTTAATAAAAGTTAACTTTGATCAATTGTTGAATAAAAAATAACATAAAAGGACCTTGAAAATGCCACTAAATGATCAAAAAATTACAAACAAAAATCCAAAAATTTACAAAAAAGGATAAAGAAAATTTTATATCCTTTTTTTTTTGTAATTTTTTAGATCCTTGTAGGTCATTTCTAATCATCTAATGATCAAAGTTAATTTTTATTAACTATAGGGGCTAGACTGCACTATTTTTAAATGTTGAAAGAAAAATTGTACCAAAAATGAGTTTATAATTCCGGTAAGTAATTAATTTTTTCATACAACGCCAATTATTTAACATCTTCTTGATTCTAATAAAATAATGAGAACTGAATTATATATAAATATATAGCAGAAGAGGAAGCACATTATAAAAAAAAAAAAATTCTGCCTCATATAGTTTTTCTTTCCTTTTGTTTAAAAATAAAGTGATGTCATTAAAAGATGAGATGATCTCTCGTACACCATTGACGAGGTTTCGAAAGCATATTAATAATGAGGATCAAAACGTATATTATTACTTCTTTTTGGATTAAAATATAAAGTATTGGTAATTAATTTATGATTCTAAAAAATGTTAGTTTAAGTCTTAATTTTTAAAATTTTTTTATCTTTTCAATTATACCCTCATTCTAATTTTTTTAAAAGGAATAATAAATGACATAGGGGTATAATTGAAAAAATAATTATAAAATTTTTATAATGTCTTATATTTTAAACCAAGCAAAATTTTAAAAAATACTTTATATTATGATTTGGAGAGAGTATTCTATTTCTTGGTTAGCCTTGGGCTTTTTTTATATTATTAAAAGGCCATTCATTATTCCTTTCGGCTTTTTTTTAATGATTTTTTAATTTATAGTTTTAGAACTTTGATGAAATATTAATTATTTTTTATTTTTACTCTTTATTAATATTCCAATATACCAGATAATATTTTAAACAGAGTATTTAAGCCAAAGCTATTTTAACCAAATTAATATGATTACATATTACGATAATCAATTTTTTTTTATTGAAAGCAAATAATTTTAAGGGTAAAACTTAAGAGATTTATGAAATGGATAAAGTAACATAAGTTTAGAACCAAGTTGATGATTAAAAAATGGAATGTCCCACTTAATTAGTATTATGATCATGTGATCTTATAATGGAAGTAATGCATGTGAAGGTATAGTGAATTAGTGATTGCTATATACTAAACTACTACTACTACGTCATCTCAAATTATAAAATACTTTTAAAAAAATTTCATTTTAAAATATAAGATACTTTAAGTAAATTAATATTTTATTAAATGTGTCAATTTTAATATTACCCTTACTCTCTCTATAATTAATTTTCATCTTTTCTCTTTTCAATATATTGAATGATGGATATTTTTGAAAGTTTATATTTTTATTTTAGAAGGATAAAGTTGTTAAGTGTATTTAATGAGGTTTATTGATATTTAAAACTTTGTCTAAAAGTGTCATATAATTTGAGACGAAGAGAGTACTAATTTACTGCACAGGATGTTGACCCCCCAATTTTGGAGTAATTTTTATACATTTAATTTCTTAATTTTATTTTCATTATATGTTTATTTATTTTCTAAACATATATTATATATAAGAAAATTTTAGTTTCTTTTACCAAAGAAAATTTAGATTTTAAAAACATTAATTGATTAAAAAGCCAGACTTATTTTTATTTTATTAAAAAAAAATAAAATTTCGGTATAATTAAAATGATGAAGAAATTCACGTCTTGTTAGTTATCATTACAATGTTCAGTGCTTAAAAATATAGGACCACTATAACAATTTTACATCAAACCATCAGGCCAAAAACAAAAATGATGTCAAATCAGCCACCAAAGTTTCTAAAATTACATTGCAAGACTAATAATGATTAAATTGAAATTTTGTTTTCAATAGAAATGACTAAAATGCAGTTTAATTTTTTTTTTTAAAAGTATCTATCCACCGTCGCCAAGGCTCTAGTGGCTGGATCACAATTGATGGCCATCATTCAAAGTTCCCGTGGTTGTCGGAGATAAATGCTAATAATAACCAAAGGTGGCTAGGGGTTTGAACCTAAGAGCCTTGGTGCACCAAAAAGTAATAATCACTAAGTTAATAATACTTCTTAGTCGTATAGTGCCAATATATATATGTGTGTAAAATACAAAACCAAACTTCCAAACCAATGCTAAGTAGAACTTGTTAACTCAAAAACAAAACTTATTAATTTATTAATCCTACTTGTAATTATACTTCTTGGTTAAGTTAGAGTTTTAAATAATCACTAGGATTAAATATATATAAGCTATTATATTAATAACTTTTGCTAGTGAGTTAACAAGTATATTAATAAATTAACAAGTTAAGTTAGAGTTTTAATAAGTTACTAGGATTAAATATGTAAAAAATACTATCAATAAGTTTTATTAGTGAGTTAACACATTATGTTAGGGTTTTAATAAATCACTAGGATATTGAATATATAAAAGATATTCTTATCAAATTTTGCTTGTGAATTAACAAGTTAACTTAAGATTTTAAATAAGTTATCAAGATTAAATATGTAAAAGATATTATTAACAAGTTTCATTTGTCGATTAATAAGTACTACTAGTAGAATAACAAGTAATATGATTGACAAGTTTACTTAATCTTAGTTTGCAAGTTCGGTTTATGTTATGTATGTATGTGTGTGTGTGTGTGTGTATATATATATATATATATATATATTTTTTTTTTTTTCATCACTATATAACCAAGAGACATTATTGGCTAAGTGGCTGCTGTCCCTTTGGTGCTCCAATGAGTTTTAGGTTCAAACCTCTGTTGGCCACCTTGGGGTATTTATATTTGATGGTCGGCACCCGAGCTTCAACAATGGTGGTCTAGCTACCTGGGCTCCTACAATTGCTGTGGGAGTGGTCAGGCGGATGGTGCCGGTGGTGGGGTTTTGGTGAGGTGATTTCTATTAAAAAATACATAAAAGGTATTATGGTCATTTTCCTTCAAAACTTATTTTCAATTTAATGTCTTTGGTCCTTAAATGAGTTTTCAGAATTCATTGGGTTTGACTTGAAATAATCTCAAATCATTGGTCCTAAATTAAAAGTCTCCCTAAAAGATTATTACCATCATTTTACAATAATAATTATTTTCATTCATTCATGTAAAGTGATGGAATTTGTATACTTATATTCCCTTCATTTAAAAATATAAAACATTTTTAATTGAATTTTACCCTTCAATAAAATAGTTACGTACTTTTAAACTAACTCTATCTTTTTATATTTACTCCTATTAAACATTCTATAATAAATATAAAGTCATTCGTCAATAGGGGTATTTTAAAAAAAAGAAAATAATTACACATCAAAAGGTGAAAAATATTTTATATTTTTTAACATCCAACTCCTTAAAAAATATCTTATATTTTTAAACAGAAAGTATAAAATTTGAAATGAGTTATATTTTTTTAAAGTTTAAGGATTATGATGAATAGTAAGGTTTACTACAAGTTGATAATGACATCATGGATACGTTGCCGCGTCAATAATTAAAGAAAAGTGATGTATGCACAAAAATAGACCCACAAGGTTCAGATTATTTTAAATTTAATAGTTTTAGAATTTTGTTGGCATTAGATAAAATGAAGATAATTCTATATTCATTTTTTAATATCCATTTTGAAATAATTCAAAATTTTATCAAATATTCTTGTAAATATATATAAGAATATTTTAGTTTTTGAAATATATATTAACTTTAATAAAATATATTCAACAAAAATTTTAAGAAGTATGATTTAGTTTTCAATGTTATAAAAAAATTTCAATAAAGTCAAAAGACCAATAAATTCAATTCCCGCTTAGCTATCTTATAAATATTTATTTTTTTAAAAAAATAAAATATTATTTATTAATTTTATGTTTTCATAATTTAATGATTGTACTTCTTTATATTTGCTTTTTGCTTAAATTATCCTAGTTCCGGAAATTTATACAAAACTTAATTAAAATAATGAATTTAAAATATTACGAATTTTTATTGCTCCTATATCTATTGATAATTATATATATTGGAATATTGGATGTATATTGCCTCATTAATTACCATATATATAGGAAAAGTACTTTATGCACAATGATATGGAGTTGCATTGCTTACAATGCAATTCGTAAATAATATGACTTCTCTGAACGATGTTATAATTTGTTGGGAGAATCCCTGAATTCCTGCATATGCTTTATTTACAACCTTATAATATATGATGTAAAATTTAGTTTGGGTTTCCCATTTTTATAATTTTCCTACCCAACAAGTTCCGTCTCGTAGAACCTCTAGGCCAATTAAGCAGTTCATGAGAGACATTGTATCTAAAATATAAGCCTCACTAAGGCCATGAAGCTTGTTCATAATATTCAAGAATACAAGTACAATATTTAGTTCAGGGGACTTCAAAACGTATAAATTGGAGGGTGACGCATCTTATAAGTTATATATAAACTAAGAACCCTGATGAAACAGCTACATTGTTAAACTTATATATCGTCAAGTCTCTTACCAAATCCAAGTGCTTCATATATATATATATATATATATATATCTCACACTGTGCCATTAGTTAACAGCTTCTCATCGCAGAAAGTTTGTTGTACTCCCACTGCTAGTTCCTCCAGACTTAGCTGACACTCCAACCCTATCTGCATATATAGCCAAACGAATAATCATATTTATCAGCTCCTGTTGAAGAAAGAACCAAACCATTTATTGGATCATCATCATTATCAAATTAAATTACTTTATTAGGTTTATTTCTCGGGCTTCTTACAATACTGTTTATTATATTTTGAAGTATATAATCATGTTTATGTGGTTATTTCATGGAAGATCATTGATTAATGGTTACGTGTATATATACCTTAACAACAAAGTGGTATAGGACTGTATCCTCCATGCTGCTGATGTTGAGATGAAGGACTTGAAAAGATAGCCTCTCAAGAACAGTGATTATCTTTGAGACTTGACCTGGAATTCTGTGGGAGATCACTTTCAGGATCACGTTTGAGCCTGAGATTTTCACTTGCACATCTGCAACTGAAGAATTGCAGCTTGCTGCTCCTACATCCTCCTTCAAGCTGCTTGCTGATGATGGTGATAATGGGCTAGGGCTTACACTCTTTCTTCTTCTTTTCTTCGATTCCAGAACTTCCAGAACTTGGTGTAGCTCTTTTATGAACTCTATTACTCCCCCGATTATTGATGCTTGATCTCCCTATATATATATAGCATCAAACAGAACAAAAGAAAGGAAATCAATACTTTTGTAAATTCTACTAGCTACTCGTTGAACAAAATAACGATGTTCTGTGTGGTGTGGATGTGATTATTATTATACGTTCTCTTGCTTTGTTAACTAACATTAACGCTGTGTTGGTCATTCACAAAGCACACTGCATTTGAAATCTCAACCTTTTATTTCAGCTAATGGCCAAAAAAGTTTCATCTAATTCTCTTGGATAAAGGGTTGAGTCAAGTCACGTCAGACTTCATAAGGAAACTACATCCCGAAAACGGATGGTTAAAAATAACAAGATAAGCATGCAACGCATCTGTGAACAAATGGCTGAGATTTTAGACACTAAAAGGAACAGATGAGAAGACAGCAAACACCCGAAATCCCGTGTCGGTATAATCGTATAACCAGCTAGTAGCTAGGGTTTTGGTCTCAAAAACGACGCTAGCGTGCGTTCTTTTGAGCAATCTGACTAGCTGATGCAAAAATTAATTTGATATTCAAGCTAATCCAGATTTTAATTCAGGCCATGTTAATCTTGGTGAGTTGATCATAGAAACACACACACACACACACACAAAAGAAAAGGAAAGAGAAATAATATTATGTACCCTTTTGATATAGAAACAAGGGGTCAAAGACCTTAAAACTTTGAGGTGCTCGTTCATCTGTCTTCTCCTGTTCCTCTCGACAGCTATGTGAGACATGATCAACCTTAGCTCCGGTCCTGTCTTTGTTTTTCTTTCTTGGATCTCCTATAATTTTGTCAGCCGCACGGAGGAAAAATCTTCTCTATCCAGTATTTATATACACGAGACGAAACAAAGTAATTAAGAGTAGTGCTAAAAAGATAAAAAACAAAAGAAAAGAAAAGAACTAGCAAGCAAGCAAGGTTGGTCCGCATTAAATGCTGTAAGTTGCTTTCCCGTGAAGTATTCTTTACCTCAGTTTACATACACATAAGCATTCTGTGCCCTTTCTTATGCACATTACGCGTCTCACGCTTATGATATTGGATCAATTACGTGCCTCCTCGTGAGTTAGAACAAGAGAGTGAAGAATTGTTCACTCATGCATGCATTTTTTAATCTCTTCATCACTTTCCTTTGTTTTCTGTTCATGCATGCCTTGCTGATATCTTTATATATATCTCTCAACTTGGTTAGTTAATTACCTCCCTGCATCATATGCAACCCTAGAATTCTACAACCGATCCCAAACATCGGATGGTTCAAAATTTTTTCTCAGTTTTATGTAGTATAAAATATTGCAGTTTCTTTGATATTTTATCGTACCCACATGAAGCCACGCAGGTATGCTCCACTTGAGTACCGTATGTTCCAATTCCATGAAACGAAGATGACAGTTTATGTTTTATTTGAATTGGTGTAACAATATTAAAGACATTATTAGCTACTACAAGCGACCAACGTTTGATGTACGTGTAATATAATTTCCTTTTACATTTCCAGTGACGAGAGGAGTAGTTAACTGTCGGCACATTTAAGAAACATATGCGAACAATACATTAAGAAAATGTTACCACTACGACTCTATATATATATATATATATATATGATAAGAAGTTAATAGTTACACGAATGACATTGAATTCTTCACGTAGTCTGAGTTCTGACTATGGATTTACTTAAAAAGTCATATGGATTCTGATGAACGAGCAAGTATTATCAACACCTGTCTTGTGTGCACATATATTTTGAACATAAATTTAAATCGTTAGAGTCCACCTAAACTGTAGGCATTTAATTTCTGGATGATATTCATATGTAGAAGGTATATATATTAAGGGTAAAGTAATGAATTGTATTCTTGTGCAAATGATGAAGTGTAGTCAAAACCTTGTTAAATTTAAGAGCATTAATTAATTAGGCACAGTATAGTAATTCTACGTCGACCTTCAATTTTGCAGGAATTATATGTATTCTGCTTGGAGATAAGTAACGTGTAACAAGCCAAACTGATCATTGATATTCCTTGGTTGAGGTGGCTAATTAATTGCTTCTGCTCAGTGTCTCTTTTGCTTTCAAATAGTCCAATTCTGAAGTGGAATGCGTGAAAATGAACTGGGAATTGCATTAGAAGTCACTGTCATTGACAACATCGGCAAGAGAGTCGTACGTCAACTTTAAGCCTTCCATGTTGTCCATTTTCAAAAACTGATTCTTGGGGGGTATCAAATGCAATGATTGATAGCGTCCCTTAGTCATCTTGAGGCCTCTTGTGAGAGTTTGAGAGAAGGCTTGTCATAGATAAAGAAATTAAGTGGCATAGGTGCAGGCTCCATTTTGAGGAATGCTTTGACATAAATAGCGCTGAAAACTAAAAAAGTAGCACTCGACTTAGTGTGTTTAAAGCTAATGGTGCCTTCATGCAATGCAGCCAATTCGATTGTGATGGCGAAGACAAACAAGGTGTACGTCTCTGAGAGTTTGTGGATAAAAGACTTAGATGATATAGCTCTTATTTATATCAGAACAATACAATGCACAAATGTTACAATGCCATGTGACAACCCCAAACACAAGAGAATAGCCACAGTACTCAAGCATACCCGTGCTTCTAGAATATACAAGCATTGTCAAATGCTTGCAATATGGGTTTAATCTGGCTGAACGTGGATATGTTAGATTAGATATTGATAGCTCAATCAACTTCAAAATTAGAGCTATTGCTTGTGGAGGCCTCATTCATGATAATCAAATAAATTGGTTAAAAAGTTTTTTTTTTTAAATATCTTGACTATTATCCCTACATCGCTGCTGAACTTTTGGGTATTGTTGAGAGCATTAACCTATATGTTGGGACTTGGGAGTGCAGTTTTTCCAAAGACAAATATCTACTCTGACTCCCTTAAAGTTCTCAAGCTCATTTAAAGTAACCTCACCACAAACCATTCCCTCACCAATACCATCAACAAGATTATAGGAAATCTTGTCATAAAAAATTGGATGATCACTTTTAAATATATGTTTGAAGAAGCTAATAAATAGATGGATGGGCTTACTAGTCAAGCTTCAAATAATAACCTTGATATTAACATTTTTTAGTGAAAAAAATTATATGATGTTTGACATGACCTAAATATTTTCCTTATATGGTTTACTATGACCTATTTAAAAAAATAAAAAATAATATACAAGCATTTACAAGGAAAAAATTAAAGGCGAGGTCAATACAAGCATATGCAGAGTCGAGAATAAAGGCCGAACTTGGAAGCCCTATTTAATAAGGGTTCAGACTTTTAAAATGATTCTTTTTAAAGTAATCAGATTTGAGAGCTTGGCCCTGATAAGTCTAGTAAAAAAGGCTTGGGCCCGGACAGTTCTTGAAGCCCTATTATATTATTATTAATTTTTTTTGGTGGAACACGCGTTTGAAACTAAGGACTTGCTCGCCTGAAGCCCTAATCCTATGCACATTATATTATTATTTATTTTAATTTAGTCTAAAATTGATTTAATATAATTTAATAAATACTTCCTCCGTTAAAAAATATAAGACATTTTTAATTAAATCCCACTCCCAATAAAGTAGTTATCTATTTTTAAACTAACTCTATCTTTTCATATTTACTATTACTAAATACTCTATAATAAATATGAAGTCACTGTCAATAGGAAAACTTTTTAAAAAAAGGCAATGATTACATCTCCAAAGTTTAAAAATGCCTTACATTTTTAAATATTTAATTCTTTAAAAAATACCTTACATTTCTGAACGGAGGGAGTATCATTATACAATACAAAATTTTTGATATTTTTTATTTTTTATGATTATTATGTTTGTGTATTTATAAAAAAATTATTTTTAAACAAGATTTAAATTTTATTACTAAACGTCTAAATGTGTATTGTTTAATTTTTAAAATATTATGAGAATTTTTATTTTTTAATTTTAAAATATTTTAATTAATTTGTAGTGTTTAATTTTATTTTAAAATTTTTTAAAAATAGGGCTTGCAAGCTTGACTTTGAGCCTTTTAAATAAGAACTGAGCCTTAAAAAATGAGTGAAAAATAAAAAATTAGGCTTAAGGGCTCAAGCTTCTATAGGTAGCCTGTCCATTTTCTAGTTCTAAGTGTAGTAGTGTATGATATGGACCAACAAATAAGAAAGATAGTGGGGTGAGCCAGCATGGACCAACTCAAATTATTATACTCTAACAAGAGAAGATAGAAGCTTTGAATATCCAACATAGCCGGTTTTTTTAATTTCCCTATGAAAAAAAGAAATAGACATAGTAAGCTAAACAAAGTAGATATGAAGTGAAGTCTACTATTTTATACTCATATCTTTCTCTACTCCACTTAATATTAAAGTTGCATTCAACTCTAATTAATTTGAATCTAAATAGGAATATTCTTCTCAAGATATTTTCATTCATAAAGACTCATTCTTGGAGTTATTATAAGTAAAGCCTGAAATCCTCTCAATACCACCATCACCTAATGGTAGAATAAATTCTTTAAAGCATTTATATTTGTAGGATTTAGGTTTGATAAGTAACCTAAATCCACTTAGTCAGTGAGTATTTCAATTATAGTAATTAAATTCTATCAACAATTAAAATTATCAAGATATATTTCCTCTCAAAATATTAAAAACGTCCTTACATATGTTATCCTCTAAAAAAAAACAGAGAGACGTTTGGTACCTTTTTTAGCACCATATGAGATGAAAAAGTATCTTACGACTTGTTCAATTCGAACGATTATTATCATATCACATAAGATATTCATTGAATAAATGCATTTATACAGTTAGTAAATCTAAATTCATTTATGCAAATAGAAGGGACAAAGTTAATTAATGCAAAGAGAGAAATTAATGGAGAGGTTAATAATGGAAAAGGTGGTTTTGACTTTGACCCAAAAAGAACATGAAGAAGGGTTCAAGTAACTAAAATGAAGGTTCATGAGTCAATTGAAAATTTAATTGCAGATGATCTAAAATGTAAATTAATTGACTCTAAATATCTCAGTCAAAAACATCAAATTAAAAAGACTTCTTATGTACTCCCATTGGTCCTATTTTAGGATAAAGAAAGAAGATTTTATTATCTTATTTATAAATTATCTCATTAAATGATGTTCATTATAAATTTTCTCATTCAACCTTCATTAAATATTGAAGAGAGAAAATATATTATTAATACATATATACATATATATATATATATGTTTAATATAGATAAAATTATTATTTTTAAAATTTTTAAATAGAGTTTATAAATTTTCATATGTTCTTTAATTTTAATAAAATATTTTGAGCATGGCTTATAAATAAAATAAGAATAGTAATATTAGTAATACCATATGTATATATACGCACACTCATCTTTTTGACTTTGAACTCCCGGAATCTTAGGATCCTGTACCTCAATAGTAAACAAAATTTATCAAGCAGTACAATACTATTTGATTAATTTGTTGGAAAGTGTTATCTCTGTTTCCCCAAATTCACACATTTGTAGGTGGGGAGCACTATAATTATAAACATTATTATTGTAATACCCAGAACCCAGTACTTTCTCCATTCTTCACTCACCTCCCAAGTTTCTGAACCAACCTTGTTATATATATATATATATATATATATATATCTCTATAAAATATTGAGGAATCTCACGTGTTTTCCTCTTCCACATTATGTATCCATACTTGTGGTAGCATCGCAGTACTCTTATTGCGCATATTTATAGAATTTTAATTAATTAATGGAATCCCAGTCAATATTGTTCAACTTGACATTAATATAATATTATGTTTGGATTTGGAATGATCTACGTTGTCCTTTAATTACTACCCAAGCATCCCATGTATTAATTAATTCCTATGCGTTTTTATTACACCGACATGTGGTGCTCATCATTTTTTATTTTTATTCCTTTGTAAAATATTCATCATATAGAGGTGAGGAATGAGTGGGTTTAGCCCACGGTTTCGTCCATTTGGATTTGAATCTAAATATCATGTTTCCTTTAATTCTATATCTTTTCAAAACCAGGCTATTTAACAAGGTTTAGGACTTGACCCTAAAGCTTGTGTAATTTTTTTTTAAATCAACCTAATTTTGAAATGTTCATCAAAATTCAAAATTCAGATTTAAAGTACAAATAAAAATAAAAGATTCCACAAATATTCTAAAATATTACTAAATTTCTAATCATCCTCATTTATAAACAAAAATTTGAACTTGAATCTCTTGTTGAAGAAAGCTCAACTGCTCAATGTCTTCATCTCCTTCACCCGAATTATATTGTTTGGAAAAAGGGAAGATGGGTGTTCGGTAAAAATACATGGCATTATTCTAAAAGTCAATTCAGTAGTCACTTTAGTGATAAGACCGCATGCTATCTTCGTAGATTTGAGAAATCATTGCTAATTAATCTTTTAATAACTCAACACTTTAGTAATTAAAGGTTTTGACTGTTTGAGACTGAGATTGAGTAAGAGATTTTTTAAATGGGCAAAAAGAAATTTTTTGAAAATAAAAAAGCAAAAAAAACTTTCGGTTAACCCAAACACAAAAAGCTCCATTATTTAAAAAAATAAAAACAATTTCTCAAGCTTGACCATGGATTCTATACAAAATATGGGAAAATGGGCTAGTGACAAGCATGACCTGATTTTTTTGCTCTTCTCATCATCAACTAAAATTGATAATTTAGACTAAATTTGATGGGTCAGATCAAACCTGCTTAAAAAATTTAAGGCCAAATTCAAAAAATATTAATTTTTTAATGTTTAGGCTTATTCATGCCGTCCCGAATAGGCCTGAAGAAATTCGAGGCAAGCCCGATTAGGTTTGGCACAAATACTCAAATTAAAAAAATAAATTTTTAAAAAATATACTCTCTCTGTTAAAAAATGTAAAGCATTTTTTCAGGAGTTGTATGTTAAAAAATATAAGACATTTTTAATCTTTTGAGATGTAATTATTTTTTTTTTAAAGTGCCCCTATTATTGATAGTGACTTTATATTTATTATAGGGTATTTAATAGGGGTAAATATAAAAAGATAGGATTAATTTGAAAGTAAGTAATTATTTTACTGAGGGGTGAGATTTGATTAAAAATATTTTATATTTTTAAATGGAGTGAGTATAAAATATGATCAATATTAATTAATTTTTTTAAGTTTTATATCTTTTATACCAAAATACTATATATTTAATTGTATTACTATAGTTATTTTTTAAAAAATTAAAAATATTTATATTTTAATATTTTTATTATTTTTAATCAATAAAATATTTTAAAATAATATTTAAAATATATTTTAATATTTATTTTTATATTTTAAGACTCAATTTTTTTTTAAAAAGTTGAGTCCTATACATCATTTGCATATAAAAAATTAATTTTATATTTTTATAAAATAAGATAATTAATTTTAAAGTAAAAATAAAATTAAAAATAATTTAAAAAATAAAATTTGGGCACAAATTTTCAACTCTGCTATTAAGTAAATATAATAAATAGAACAATATTCTTCAATAATTACTTAATTTTTGTCATGTTAGACTTGGTTAAAAAATTAAGAATAAATTATAGTAAAAATTCCTCATATGTAAGGGTTAAATAATATAAAAATTTAAAAAAATGATTCCAAAAAAAATAATATTTTACTCATAATTAAATAATTTTTTTATATAATATAATGATGGCTATTTTTTTATATTCATAAAAATAAAAAGTACAATTTACCTACAAGTTATTAAAAATTTTGAACTAATAGGGATAATAATTTTAAGTTAATAATCTAACCATGATTGAATTAAAATCAACTTGATCACAATTAAAATAATATAATTTAATTAAAATATATAAAATATTTATATATGACTATGATAAGAGCAATGTTTAAATAATTAAGATATTAATTTGCAAATAAAGGAAACATTCATGAATAAATTACATATAATACAACAAATCAGTAGCACAGTTACTTAAGTACAAATTTAATAAGTTATTTTTTATTTTATTCTTTTAAAGTTAAAATAATATTTTATGCTTAATAGAATTATTTAAAAATTAAAATTAATTAAAAAATAAATAAAAATAAAAATTTTTGGATATTTGGGCAAGCCTGATAAGTCTGAAGGTGTTAAAGGTGGGGCTTGACTATATGAATTTTTTAAAAGGAATATGATATTTTAAGTCTAATTTAAATAAGTTCAACCAGCTTAAATTATCAGCTTTATCAACAACACAAACACACACACGCGCGTGCAGGAAATATGTAAAGGATTGCATACAATCTGATTTAATTACAAAATTGTAAAAACATTTTTCACCTTTTGAACAATTTGAATACAATACAAGAATGAATGAATTTAATTTGGATTCTCGCAACAATTGAACTACACATTGGAACTTAGTTAGATTATTAAGATATAGTCAGATATTAAATGTAAGCACATTTTCTCAAAGCCTGATTGATGTTATAATTTCTTAAATGTATATTGATGGATTTAATCAAAGTATGGGAAAAAACTGGATCAGACAAGAGGGTAGAACAACGTAGAGGCTAGCCTACATTTCTGGGTCCAATCCAATTATAGATCTAAAGCAAGAGCTACATACACAGTAACACTGCACAACTTCACTGGGCCTGAAATACCCAACCCAAAATTCTGGCTTGAGGCCTTGTGATATTTTTTTAATAATATGTATATATTTTCTCTGTCTTTATATATAAAATATTTTTTAAAAATATATTTTATTTTTAAATATAAAATGTAATAATAATATTTTAAATAATTAAATATTTTTATTTTTATTTTAAAAAATAAAATATATCATTAATTATATGTTTTTTCTATTATTATTATAATATTAATTATGATATTATTAAAAATAAAATTAAAAAAATATTTTATTTTTATATGAGTTTAATTAAATAATAAATTTTTATTAATACGTAAAATTTAATTAAAAATATTTTATATATATAAAGATAGAAAGAGTATTTTAAACACCAGACAAAGCAATGACTTATCATCGAGGAATGATAAAGCTGTGAGCTGTGTGGCCAGAGGTTAACCAACCAGCCATTTTCAGAAAAAAAGAGATGACAGAGAAGATAAGCTCCGAGTGTTATCTAGTCAGCACACGTTGAAAAGGTGCAAGGCCTTATCCACAAATTATTGAAGAAGCAAAAAATCGAAGCCAGCCGGCCAGACGCGGCGCCTCATAGCAATTTCTCAACTTCTTTCAACTGCCAACAACACTGTGGTTCCATGGCTTCCTTTCAAGCTTCTCTTCTTCTTCTCTTCTTTCTCAACATCTTTCATGCTCCTGCCTCGGCTTTTGTTCTTCCTGTGTCTAAAGACCCTTCTACGCTCCAGTACTTAACTTCTCTTTCTTATGGCACTCCTCTTGTACCTACCCAGCTTGTGCTTGATCTCGCTGCGCCTTCTCTCTGGATTGATTGTTCTTCCAGAAACGTCGCTTCCTCTTCTCTCCGTACCATCCTGAGTCGTTCGATTGAATGCCTTGCGGCAAAAAGTCATCGCTTTGATGAGACTTCGACTCGGCTTCCCGATCAGCACCAGCCGTGTCAGATTTTCCCGGAAAATACCATCACAGGGATGATACCCAGAGAAGGCAACCTCGTCCAAGACATCGTGGCGCTCCGATCGGCCGAAACTGTTTATCCCCTTATCTTCACTTGTTCATCCACTCAACAATTGAATGGCTTAGCGGTTGGAGCTCAAGGCATGGTAGGTCTTGGTAGGGGTCGTGGTTCGTTGTCATCTCAGATTTTCAATTCATTGAATGCCCGGAGAGAATTCACTCTATGCCTCTCTTCTTCGTCTGGGGTTGTGTTATTCGGCAGAAACTCGTATGAATCTCAGCCTGAAGTTGAAATTTTGAGATCTCTCGCATTCACGCCGGTTTTTACCAACCAGAAGGGATACTTCATCACCGTGAACTCCATCAAAATCGATGGTAGGAGATTGTCTTTGTCACTGCCCAAGAACCAAGAGACCAAAGGAAGGACTCAATTGAGCTCGATTGTGCCCTACACTACCATGGAGAGTTCAATCTATGATACTTTCAAGAAAGCTTATTTGAAAGCTGCTGCTGCTATGAACATGACTAGAGTGACTTCAGTGACACCATTTGAGCTCTGTTTTAGCTCCAAAGGGGTTGATAAAGTGCCAATGATTGATCTTGTGCTGCAGAGTGAGATGGTGAAGTGGAGGATCTATGGAAGGAATTCAATGGTGCGATTAGGCAGTGAAGTGATGTGTTTGGGGTTTGTGGATGGAGGATTGAACCCAGAATATCCCATTTTGATAGGAGGATACCAATTGGAGGATGTCATTATGCAGTTTGATTTGGATACTTCCATTTTAGGATTTAGTTCTTCTCTGTTGTTGAAGCATTCTAGTTGCTCTGACTTCAAATCTGGTTTCATGTCTGCAGAATCAGTTTGAGTATATCATTTCTACTCAGTTTAGTTTAGTCCTTCTTCGTAGATGATTAGGCTGTCAGCTAAATTTTGTAACCCCATGTACATGAGACTGAGAACTGCTTATTTGAATGGCAAATATATGTGTATTGAATAGAGAATTAGTTTAGGTGATATCAAGAACTGAGACTATGTTATGCAGTTACAAAATTAGTTAACAAATTCGGATTTCCTAATTGTTTAATCATTAAGAGTCTCATTCTCAACCCTTATTTTCAGTAAAGCCAAGATGTGCAGAGGAAAATATCTTTCTCAGCCATGCATTTTAGTTTCCCCTGATTGTTGAGGAAGCGTGTTCTTCCCTTCTTCCATTTTAATCTGAGATCTTAATGAAGATTGAATTGGTGAAACTACTTCACTGAGATCTCAGAAAGGTCCAGTACTTGGTGAAATATTTCAGTAATTAGATTTGAGTTCAACTCAAGGAAGACAATGAGAAGAAACTGATATTCCATACCAGTTCAGTTGAGTTCATATCTCTTGGCTCCATTTCTTGAAACAAATGGTTTTTTTTATTTTGGTTTGGCAATTACTAAAACTATAAACAGAACTTCCTAGTAATTTAACTAGGACTGCAATGTGAACCTTGGACACCAATGAAATGAACATAATCACTAGGGGAAAAAAGCACATTTATATCTTTATTTTCGAGAAAAAACAACAAATTTTGTAAAAACAAACTAAATATACACACATCTTATGGTAGGGATCATTTTGGAAATCATAAGCATAGTGATTGCTGATGGCCAAAAAAAAAAAAGAGAAAAAAAAAAAAAGATAAGCACAGTCATTGCAACATTTCACTACCTAATCATCACTGCAAATTTGGATGTGTTTGTGGACGATCTTCGCTTGACTGCAGACTGTACAGATCAAATTTGGTTGAAAAATAATGAGTTCTATGCTCTCCCATTTTTCATCAGATAACCTGTTTTTATTTTCAACTGTGTCTAAAAGAGAAACCAAAATTGGGATTCACACCAAGCAGCAACATTTGGGATTTCGTAAAAAGAATGGAATACACTACCTAACAAGATAAAGACGTGACAAATTTTTGATATATGCAAATAAATATTGAAATACAAGACTTTTTGATGCCAAACACTAGTTTTCAGCCTAACTTAGGCCTGAGAATTGATAAGATCGGGCTAGGGATTTCAAACTTAAAATAGAAAGCAAACTTATAGGAGCCAACTCTATTGTGCTGAGGGGCGAAAATAAGCCGGTTTGTTTAGACTATTTCTTTTCTTTGAATATTGTTGATTATGCTAATATTATTGATAAGTTATGTAGTCAATGGATAATTGTAGAAAAATCTGCATCCCTATGTTTTTGTTAACAATTAATTTTTCATTGCTAACCTATGAAGCATGGATACTTCCAAAAAAAAAAAAAAATAACAGTATCTGTATCTAGTACGGTACTTATGGGAAACTTCAACATACATATTGTATATTCTAAGATTTGTATTATGAATTCTTTCTAATAAATTTTTTTCTATATTACTTAAAAACTTTAATTTTTTTTAATATTTTGGTTGATTTGTTGCAAATATTCTTATATTACTTTAGAAATACTTGTTTAAAAATTAACATACTTATACATATATCATAAAATGTTAAAATATATATTAGAAATATTCTCATATCTGCATCCTAAAATTTTAAAAATTGCTGTATCCATCATATCATACTATATCATATCCAATACATGTACCCATATTGGTGCTTCTTAGTTGCTAACCTATCAAAATTTGACTTCAACTCTACTTGCATGGTGGTATGTACCACTTCTAATGCAATGTAATGTTTTGTTTAGGTTAATGTGGCAAAATAGAAAGAGTTGCAGTACTGTAACGAAATCAAAACCTTGGAGCTTATTTGGGTGGATTCAGGGGGGTAAAAGATGTATTTTAGAAAGAAAAGGAAGATCAAATGAAGATTATTAAATTTACAATGGAGGGAAAACATTATCAGTTGTTGAAATTGGAGGATTTTAAACATAAATAGGAAAAACACACATGGACAAACTCTTCAAATTCTCATTTTCCCAGAAAACAAACAAGGAAGAGTGAATGCCTAGCCACTAGCATACAAAGTTTAAACTAGAATCTTAAAGTGAACTTAAGCACCAAAACAGTATGCATAAACTGATCATATTTATTTGTTGGAATGTCTACCCTTAACTTGTAAAGGAAGGCAGATCATCAAGAGGATTTGGTACATCCATGAATCCTTCAAGCATGTGCACAGCTTGCTTCATGGTGGGTTTCAGTGATGGATCCTCTTGAATGCACCATATAGCGATCATCACATACTTCTCTACCCTCTTCATGTCAATCTAAGCTTCTTCATCATCTTCGACTAACAAGTAAATCTCCTATGGTGAAAGCAATCACATGCCCAATCCATAAGCACAGTCCTATTCTCATCTTCAACATTCATGTCAAAGCGCTTTCTGCAACAAATGAGCTCCAGTAACAAAATAGTTCCATAGCTGTAAATATCCACCTTCATGGTGATTGGCTTGTTTTTGAACCACTCAGCTGCAACATACCCTTTAGTTTCCTTAATTACTGTTCTAGTTACAGTCTAGCTAATCTTAAATAACTTGGCTAAACTAAAGTCTGAAATTTTGGCAGTGTAAGAGTCATCAAGCATGACATTCTAAGGCTTGATATCACAGTGGATGATTTGAGTGTTGCACTCTTCATGCATGCACAAGATTCCTTTAGCTTTTCCTATTGCAATTTGTACTCTTTGATGCCAACTTGGCCGTTGGCCTTCAAAAATAAAACTTGCTAAACTTCCCTTACTCATAAATTCATATACATGTAGCCTGTGCTCTCCTTCATTACAGAATCCCAAAAGTTGCACTAGATTCTTATGGTGTGTCTGACTAATTGAACTCAGTCCTGCCTCAAATTCCTCCTCACTTCCATTCACTATCTTTAGTTTTTTGCAGCAATGAGGTTGCTTGGAAGGTCTGGCAGCACACCTTTATAAAATGCACCACGACCAATTTCTTTTATGAACCCATTTGTTCCTTCCCTTAGCTCTTCAAAAGTGAAACTTCTTAGATTCAAGCTTGGCCCAAATCAGATAGTTTTGGCCACCTTTTGGTTATTGTGGCCAAACCAGTATGCGGCCACACAAGGAATATAGGACTTCTTAAAATCGTCAAACGAACAATAATAAATTTTGATTTGTCATTGTTTGGATTAATATCTCCAGGAACCAGAGTAGAAGGATTATCTTCTTACTTTGAGTAGAGGTTTCCCTTGGAATGATAAATCAAACCTTCCATTAGAGAAAGAGGCAACTCCACAAAGACGATCTAAACAAACTTGTCTACACCAATCCTCACTTACTGGCTTGAATTATTCATAGTGACAAAATGGCCAATTTGTGTTTGGCATATCAATGAAATAAAAGAGTGCTTATGAAGAAGTTTCATCACAACTTTGTGGAACAAAGTCCTGTTTGCATCCTTTCATCACATCATTTGGATCAATAAAGCTATAACCAGTTGGGCAATCGCAACTTTTTATCCCACCATTAAAGGTACAAGCTCCACTTCCTGGCACTTCATTAATGCTCAAGCAAATATTTTCAGGTATGAAGGACTGAATTGACCAGGCCATTGGTCAGATTTTTGTGCTGGTGCTATTACCCTTGGGATAGATATAATGTCAAAAAACTCCATCATAATCAAGAATAGCTCTCTGATAATAATTCTGTGGTGAGATGGCATTTGATAATATTGTCTTGATTATACTTTTATTACTTCTTTAAACAAATATAAAACCAAAGTGGTTGAAGACCACTAAGAAATCACTGCCAAGAACCTGGTTAGCCCAATAAGCATAATTTACAGCATCTATTTAGAAGTGAGTTGTGTAAAGCACAAAATTCCCATCAGTTCATAGTGAAAACAAAAATCTACCTTTGAATAATTATCGAGAAAATAGTTGGAAACAAGTAGAGTAGGTTGATTTAAAATTTTTCCTGATAAAATTGTGTCAGTAGGATGATCAAAGCTCTGCCAAAAAATTTGAGATTCATCACTAACCAGCACAAAGTTACCAGAATCAAGCATGGTAGCATAAGAAACTCCATTTCCTAAAGGGCTAGCATTCGAAATTTGCAGACCACTAGGGTCAATGCGCTGGAAAGAACCATATGATGTGAGCTTAACTTTGGAACCTTGTGGAGCAAGATTTTGTTTATTGGCTGACCAGACAATAGTTGTTTCTGGTATTTTGTTGAACTAGATGGCTAGCAAGAACCCGTCTTTCTAAATTTGCTGGAAACCAAATGAAAAATCATCATATGGTGAAGCCCTGAAGGAGCGATTTTCCGTAGTAGTGAGGGAAGTGCCCAAGGATATATTCTTGAAAGATTGAGTGAGAACAGAATGAGAAAGAAAAGCAAGTAAGAGACACAGAAAGAAGATTGGGTATGGCTTCTCAAAAGCCATTTTATTAGAGGAATTTGTGCTGATGATGTTGCAAATGATGGGCAGTTTTTCAGTTTGAGTTGTGCCTAAGGACACTATATCCTTAAAAGCTATTTCACCACACTAGTTTGCTTGCATTGCAACTCTCCAAAATTAAATAGACTCATTTTGAAAAATAGACAGGACCATAAAATGGCAGAAGCTTACATAAATTAACCCAAATAGCACAACATAGTACAAAGGAGGAGGAGAGAATCAGCGCAAAATCTCAAGAACTAGGCATTGGACTCATGGGGTTCCTTGGTATTTATAGACTTAAGGAGTTGCGCTTGCAGATGGCCATAACACAATTAAAGATCAATTTCAGAAACACAAAGTCACATGATGCGATTTACTTGGGAGTTTTTGAACGTTGGCACATTAAAACATTTAAGAAATTGGTTTTGGTTTTTAATTCCAAAAACATTCTCTTATTCAAAACATGATTTAGGGATTTAAATTCTGAAATGCCAAATTCAAAGGTTTCTGGATAAGCATATTATAAAAAATTAATTTTTCAATTTTGCAAAATTAAACTTGGTAAAAAGAACTCAATGCCTTTTTAGTAGGTTTGCAGGGGACAAATTGGCTATTTTCAACTACGATTGCCTTGTGTAGGCTTATCTTGTGTGAGAGAACCCACTTTTCCTTCAAGCCAATTTATAAGCCCATCTCATTCCTTAGCATATG